CGGCGACAGCGGCGGAGGGCGGCGCGCGTGCAAGTTCGGCTCGGGGCGGCGCGCAGCGACGGCGGCTCTTCGCGGGGTGCGTGCAAGCTCGACGCGGCGATGGCGGCTCAGGCCGACGTGCAGCGGCGGGCGAGAGTAGCAGGGCAGCTTGGCGCGGCGCCCTGCGGGCGAGCTCGACGCAGACGAGTAGCAGGGCAAGCGCGGCTGGCGAGCTCGGCACGGTGCGCGGCAGTGGCGAGCAAGCGTGGGCGGGGAGGCGCTGCAACGAGACGGGACGGACCGTTTGGGGTGAAGACGCCTCATGCGCGTTGGGCGCGAATGCTCCAAACGCTTGTCCGCCCCCGGACGTCCGCCGAATCGCACCCAAACGGACGTCCAAAAGACAGATGCAGACGTCCGATTGGGGTGGAGTTGGCCTAATCGAACCGTGATATGAATTTCAAATTTTTAATCTGTTCGTTGCCTTTACATTTTTGGGAACCTTCCAGAATTTCAAATTTTGTTCTCGTTTTCATAAAAGTTCAGAGTTTCAATTTTATTTATTTTTTAAAAAAATTGTTCATAATTTCTTTTTTTCTCTTTCTTCAAAATTTGTTCAGAAATTCAAAATGTGTTTCTATTTTTCGAAGATTGTTTGTGTTTTGATTTTTTTATCACACTTTCAAAAATGTTTGCATTTGAAGAAGTATTTAGTTCTTTACAATAAAAGTGTTCAAAATTTCAAAATATATTCAAATATGTCATTTTTCATAGTTTTTAAAATTCCGTGCTACTTATAAGTCACCAAAGCTTGTTCAATCTAGCCTCAAGGCATGTGCACCTCAAGAGCGGCAGGTCGTTTTTTTATCCCTCAACACACACAATTTTATTGGGAATTTCCACTGCAGGAATGTAAATGGTACATATAATTTCTTTTTCAAATCCATCTCCATATCCTTTTCTAAGAATATGGTATGCACTTGCACAAATACGCCATCAGATGCATTCTCTCGCAACCGTTGGATCTGAGTTAGCCGACTCTTTCATCCCCTTGCGACCATCTCTGTATGAGGAAATCCCACGCGAAATAATGGTGTCCACTTCCTCATATCGCGTAGCGCATGCTCTCCCAGGAGCTAGTTGCCTCACCGGCCACCCACTCCCCCCGCCGTCGACGCTCACAGTCTTGTCGTCGTTAGTCATAGAAAAAAGTTCGCCAATAGTAGATTTTTTCATACCCCGTTGCAACCATGAGTAGCCACCTCTAGTCGCCGCCTCGCTGGTGACAACACAACACCTCCTCCTGCCCCCGGTTGCAGCATCGTGTCTCGCCAGTCCCCACAAAAAGTGCACCGCCAATCACAACTCTGCATCTAGCCAGTGTTTCCCCATGGTTGCAGCATCGGTGGAGATGATGACATGCTCGCAACCCTCACTTTTTTTTGGTTCCAGCAAAAATTGACATCAGTAGCATTTTGTGTCACTGGTTGCAACTTTGTCATGCTCGGGGTGCAGATTCACCATCGTTGGTTGCAACTCTATCATGCTCTGGTTGCAACTCTCTCTGATTCCAGCATAAATTTTTCACCGGCTGTAGCATTTTTTGTTGGTGGTTGCAACTCCTTTTTTCTCTTTGGTTCTAGGAAAAGATAGCGTCGTCCTTGCGGCGGATCCCATCCGCCCATCGCAAACTCCGTCGTAACTTGTTGCGGCTTATCGTTCGAGCGGTTCCTGCAAATGTCGACTGGTGATCACAAATTCTCGCTGGCCGGTTGCGGCAATGCAGACTGATGCTCGCAACTTCTCTCCCATCCTGGGGCATCGCGGCTTGATAGCCTTTTAGTTGTCAGTTGTAGGTCCCCCGTGTCAATCGACCGCCTGTTTGGCTTGCTAAGCCGCTTATTCCATTGTGCCACTTCTGCTATGGACTCATGCTGGTCTTCGGCTTGAGGCATGTTAGCAGTGGAGCTGGTACCATGAGGGAGCAGGCTTCGCGATCTTTTTAGTTTCGGTTTACTAGTTCATAATACAGAATAGCATGGATAGGACACG